TTTAATGTTTTTTCCTTCTTCTTGATAGTGTATTATTATTTTTGTTTTTTTAATAATTAAAAAGCAATAAAATTATATATAAAAAAGGATTTCATTGGGCTGCAGATCCACAGATTTCTCATGAAGAACATTCTTGACTGACATGCTTGTATTAAAAATGAAAGTTACTAGGGCCTGGGGTACATAAAATAATTTAATAAATATTAATATTTATTGTTGGATTAACATTTTGGTACAAAATTTAATTTAGAAAATCTTTAAAAGGAGAAGGAATGGAAAGAAATTATCTTACTCACCAAAAATGTTAATTCCCACGCTCTTAAAGACAAAAGCATGGAGGGGTTATTTGTTTAAGTGGGTGGTTGCCTCATTTTCTTAATATTTCTTTAGTTTTCCACAACTGAAGAAAGTTTGAGAAACCATGTTCTAATTCTTTGTCTCCTTTTTGTAACACTCACCATTTCAAGTGCTAAGCATATTTTACATTTATAAATGCAGACATTCTGTTCCAGATTTCAAAGTAGCCTAAACACGTTCCTCTGCAGTTTAGAAGAGATTTTTCAGTTGTACCTTGAGCTTTTCAAAAATTTACCTTGAGAAATTATTGTTTTTGTAAACATGAAGATGGAGTGTTAGACTGGAATTTCTACTTCAATTATTCTTGCTAGTTCATCTAAAAACATTAAAAGGTCCCCAATGACAGCAGCACAGCTTTTTCACAATGTATGATCTATCAACATTGGCAGAACCATGACACTGTGATGGTATGTATTTTGCACATAGGAAGTCCCAAATTCCTATGCTCCATTGTTTCTAATTTCCCCTAAAACTTTCATTAAAGAACAGAATATTAAAGTTTACCTCTTTCAAATTTAGAAAAAGCAACTGACTTGAGACTGCACTGATGTCCTTTGCACACTCCCAGTAGTTCACCAGTCTTTATATCCCACACTTTCGCTGTTTGATCCCCTGAAGCAGTAACCTTAGAGAAAATAAATGCAACAGTTTACCACTGGAAACAAAAAATTATGGTACCTTTAACATAAGTTTATGAGACAAAGCATTGTTCAAAAGATACATGAAACAAAGTGCTAATTCAATCTTACGTTATTTGCTCAAAAATAAACTCCAGTAAGTTCAGTAAAACTTAGTCCCTAGTTAAAGTGCATAGGATTCCTGCTTTGGAAGGCATCAGATACATACATGGTTACAGACATATAAGATTGAAAATATAAATAATGCGTCCCAACAACTGATATGGCAGAAACAAATATATTAAAGAATCAGAATTGGAAGGAAGATTATATGGTTCAATAACTTTTTTGAAGCAGGATCTGGAATGTAAGTTACAACTACAACGTTGCAGATATATAGTTTATAGAAGTGTTTCTCAACCAGGGTTCCGTGGAACCCTAGGGTTCCGTGAGAGGTCACTAGGGGTTCCATGGGAGATCATGATTTATTTAAAAAATTACTTCAGATTTGGGCAATGTGCTTTCACAGTAATGAGCAGAGACCAAACAAAAATCTAGTTACAACTCTTTCTGAGCTCTCTGGTAGTGCGCTGTAGGGTTGTGTTTATTTGGTTAAATCCAGTCTTAATTTTTGATGGAGATGGGGGAAACTGTTGATAACAGGTGAACACTATATTGCAGGAAGGGAGGAATATATTGAAGGAAGGGGAGGGAGAAGCGCATTTTTCAAGAAATTAATGGACTTGTCCAACTTAGTCTGTGACATCAGTCTCTCCCTCCCGCATCTTTTCTCTGTGGTTTTCCTGTAGTCATTTTATCCCCCTTTTTAAAATAAATTTCATACATGTTTATTCAATTATGTCTGAGAGTCCAATGTGGTGATTTTTGAAAAGGAGGTGTGAGAGAGAAGAGGAGGATTCTAGAACGGACAATACCAATAAGTTTAATGATGATAATGATAATGAAGAATTTAAATCTTCTCAGGCATTTCCCTGCAGTGGTATATCAACGGACTCAAAAAAAAGTCTATTTTTACAATGAAAGCTATTTATCAATGGGTTTTACATGAACTGGTGATTCAAGTTGTCCTATTCTGTTATGCTTCCTCTGTGGCAAGCAACTTACAAATGCAGTAATGGCTCCAGCAAAATTAAAAAGACACTTAACTACAAATCACAGCTGACAAGTAAACGTTCTGATTATTTTACACGGCTATTGGAATCACAGAACAGAGTAAAGCTTTTGTTAATAAAATGACAGTCAATAAAAAAGCCCAAGAAACAAGTTATTTAGTAGCAGAACTTGCAAAGTTTGCACCACAAAGGAAAAGTTACACTTTGGGTGAGAAAGTAATCATGTCAGCATGTGAAATAATAGTGGGAAAAATGCTAGGACCAGATGCAGCACAAGAAATTGAAAGTTTCTACTGATGGGTCAACAGCGGGAGGAGGAGGTGTGTGCTATTATATGGAAGCTTTTGAATTAAGAGTCGGCTCACACCGGGAGACTTTAAAATGCCTAGTGGCCCCTTTGACGAGTTACTCCTTGATCCTGGGGATGTCTTGGCTGGAACTGTGGAATCCCACTGTAGACTGGTGTGCCAGGACTCTAACCTTCCCAGACGGGGTGTGCGACGTAAAACGGTTTGACACCTTAAGCTCAGTAGAACCGGGACTGGCAGCCATTAGCACCCAACTCCAGGAACTGGGAAGAGAGCACCCAGATCCCGGAGCAATATAAAGATTTGGCAAAAGCATTTAGCGAAGCCGAGTCAGACCAACTGCTGTCACACCACCCGACAAACTGCGCAATTGAACCAAAGCCAGGGGCGAAATACCCCACCTCGAAGATGTATTCCATGACTCAAAAGGAAACGGCGGCGCTCTGGGAATTCATTGATAAAAACCTGCGCCAGAGATAGAACCTGCTAAATCCCTCCTAGCGGCCCTGGTACTGTTCAAGGAAAAGAAAGACAGATCGTTAAGACTGTGTACTGATTATAGAGGACTAAATGCCATTTGCAAAAAGAACAAGTATCTGCTTCCCCTGATGAAAGACTTATTAGCTCATTTAGCAAAGGGCAAAATATTTACAAAACTGGACTTGCGGGACAGTTATTTTAGAGTACGGATCAAAGAGGGGGATGAATGGAAAACAGCATTTCGTTGCCCCATAGATTGTTTCCAGTACCGCGTTGATGCCGTTCAGATTATCGAGGGCACCCGGGTCTTTATGCAGTTGATCAATGAGGTGTTACATGAATATTTGTACAAGGGGGTGCTGATATATTTGGATGACATCTTGATTTACACTGAAACATGGGATGAGCATGTACAATTAGTGAGGAAGGTATTGCAGAGGTTGCTAGAGGAGCAGTTGTATGCAAAGCTGTCGAAATGTGAATTCCACTAAGAACAAATTGACTATTTGGGCTATAGGAGTTCTAGTTGGGGGGTAGAAATGGACCCCAGCAAGGTCCGTGACGTAGTTGCGTGGGAAGCGCTGAAAACCTGGTGCCAACTACAGAGTTTCTTAGGCTTTGCAAATTAGAGTTAGTCTGGCGAGATTGATGTCAGGTTCAGCCCAAGAAACTTAGCAGGACAATTCAGGAACAGTTCAGTTACTTTATTAGCTTACACCTACTAGACAGAATCTTGCCAGACTAACTTTAACCCCCAACAACCGCAACTAAACACTCTGCATTCCTTAGGGTGATGCCAGTCTTATCCTCTTACTTTTCACATGCTCAGGCTACAGGCTGAGGAGATGTTTGAGATTCCTCTCTGACTCCCAATGACCTTGGACCTCCTCACTCAAGTCTTCTATCACATAAACTGAAGCAGCTTTTCTATCCAAGTTGATAATATCTTCTATCCAAGATTTCACCAATAAATGTCATGTTATGGCATTTGTAAGATTTGTAAATGGTGGTGAAATTCAAGAAAACCTTTTCTGCTGCAAAGAACTAAATGAAACATGCAAAGGCAAAAATATATTTCATGTTTTGTCTTTATATCTGTAAACAAAAAGTCTGTCTTGGAGGAACTGTGTTGGCATCTGTACCAATGGTGCTCCATCAATGGTTGGCTCCATGAGAGGTTTTGTTTCTCTTGTAAGAAAAGAAAATCCTAATGTTGTCACAACACACTGCTTTTTTTCACAGAGAGGTGTTGGTGTCAAAAACTCTTGGAGATGAAATGAAAAAAGTTCCGGATGATGCTACAAAAATGGTTAATTTTATTGAACAAAGACCAGTTCACTTAAGAATGTGTGAAAAACTGGACAAACAGCACATAATTCTCCTGTTACACACAGAAATATGGTGGCTCAGCAGAGGAAGAGTTCTCAACAGGATGTTTGAGATGAAGGCAGAATTGCAAGAATATTTTCAAGAAAATAGTATTCCACATTTTGCTGGGTGAAGGTGGAGAATGGTTGCAGAAACTAGCATACATAGTGGACATCTTTCATCACATGAACCAGCTGAACAAGTCTCTGCAAGGCACTGGAGAAAA